ACATTTCTATAAAAGATGTATGAAGGATAATTCTCACATAAAAGACAAAGAGTAGGTCGTGGATTGGACACCATTACTTCATCCCTAACTCACAACTATAATACATTCCTCTATGACACTCTTACTCTGCACTTAGATATCTTCCTCAAAGACCTACTAACCTAGAAATCAGAGCATACTCCAAGGACCTCCTCATGTAATGTGGTTGACCATTTCTGTTAGTTGAAGTTCAATCCCTTCTATCCAAGACAGACAATGAGGACTCCAACGTTGATGTTACTAAGCAGGTAGCCTCCCGACTCTAGGAAAACCAAACATTTTAGCGAACATAAAATCCCATAAATCTATTTTAGTAAAACATATTTTTTTGGAAAAGTACTTATATTGGTATATAATATGATAAATGCATATACTTGTTGAGAAAAATGTTATGATCAGTTAAGACACATTAATTTATAAAAATGGACATTGAGATAGAGTTTAAACACGTTTTGAAAGTTAAGGAAACCATATTACGAGCATTTATTCTAACACTCGTTCCGAGAAGGTACATATTTAACCCTAAATTTTAAAAAGGTTGGCATTTTTTGTCTGTATGCCATGCGTACTCGGGGTGTATACATGGCGTACTCATGCATGAAGGAAGCGAGCCTTGCACGCGTATGCTCGGCGTACTCCTCAGGTACGCAGCGCGTACGCTGTTCAAACCTAAAACCCTAGTTTGAGGGTTTGCACCCTATATAATCCTCTTTATGCCCTAAGACCTTCACCCTCATCAGCCTCCACCTAAAAACCGTCCCTCTAGCTAACCCTGAGTGAGAAGAGTGTATTTTGAGCTCATTTGACCACTTTGTGGTGTTCTTGAAGAAGAAGAAGATGGTAGAAGGACCTTGGAGCTTGGAAGAAGCTTGGATCTGGGATTCTCTACTTGCTAGCAACCTCTAGGAGGTAAAAAGCTCCTAGCTTGATCATCCTATCTTATAGATCTAGTCATTTCTTCATTTAGGGCATTTTTGGTCCCAACTATGGTGATTCTTGAGCATGGCATGCTCTTAACCAGATAAGTCGTCCTTTCAGACCCAATGAGGGGTCTTGAGTCATAAAAATGAGACATTGATGCTAAGTTCTTCCCCATGCATGCTCTGGAAGGACTTTAGGTGTTAAGAAGTTAAGTTTGTAGGTATTAAGCACTTAATGAGCATGCAAAGTCATAAAGTTGGAAACTTTATGACTCTCAGTGGTATTTTGGCATTGGATCTGCAATTGGGACGTGAGAGCTTAATGATTTAAGCTCTTATTGAGGAAAAAGGGTTTCGGTGCGTACGCCGTGCGTAACCCAACGTACGCCGCATGTACAGGATCAACCGCCTAATTCCGGTCAAAGCTTTAGTACGCCTCGCGTACTCAGCTGAGTTAACCGAGTTGACTCATTGACCTTGACCTTTGACCAGAGTTTTGACCTAGGGGTATTTTGGGTATTTTGAGATGATTAATTGAGATTAGATCCTTGGTTTTGGTTAGGTGATCGTTGAGTTGATTTTTCGGAGTAGAGATTTATTCAACTTGCATTCAGACTGAGATGTGAGTTTTCCTCATTGTACCGTGGGTTGAAGGCACCAATGCCGACCCACTAGATTATTTATTCTGGTTAGGATAGTATTATGTTGGATTGTGGCTGATTAGTATAATTGTATGAGTATCTGTATTTGCTGGTTTTGTGTTTATGTTTATCTGTTACATATGTCGACATATTGCATTGGGTTGAGGTTGTACTGCTTTGTACGGTAGCCAACAAACTCGGGAGCAATCTAGATATGAGTTGAGGGCCCGATTAGAATGTCAGACTCATACTGTGGGCTCAGGGGTAATCCAGTTTTTTGAGATGTGGACCCAGTATATGTTGTTATATGTATGTGTGTGTTGGTACTTTGGGGGAACTCACTAAGCTTTGGCTTACAGTTTTTAGTTTATCGTTTCAGGTACTTCTTAGGATCGTGGGAAGGCAAAGGCGTGATCATACTCAACTTCCTGTTTTATGTCACTGGGTCTTGGAAAAACTCTGATTTGAAATAATGCTTTGAAACAATGACTCTTTTTGTAAAAAAATGTTGACTAATTGTTGATTTTGAAAATTTTAAATTTTCATGAATTTTTGGAGTGTTAGAATAACTAGGAAAGGTTGTTAAGTTATTGCTAACATTTTACATGATTTAAAGGTAAGAAAAAAAAATCATGAGAAAAATATTTGTAATTCAGGCCAAGACAATATATGAGGAGGGTAAGCAAAAGCAGAATCGGAAACCGAAAAACCGAAAAAGAAGAAAACGAGAAACCAAACCACTCGCTTTAGTTTTTGGGTTCGGTTTTAGATGTCTAAAAACCGATTTTTTGGTTTTAGCTCAAAACCAACTTATGAGTTGACATTTATATTTGAAAATTACGGTATATGCAACAATATATTTTTAATGATTATTTGTGTTCGTAGATATGTGCCCCAATGTTTTCAATAATTTGTTTACATGCATGGTACATTTTGTGGAATTTTATTTATCTAGATGATGGAGTACAAAATTTTGAAAAATGATTGTATGAAAATATTTTAGTGTAAGCATGTGGATCGACACAAAGAGTTAGAGGTTATTGATGAACAAAAAATGTCATGTCAACTAAAGTACATTAATCGTGTTTGAGATCATACATGTGATATGTTCACCTGGTCAAATAGCGACAACGATCGTTACGTGCTCGAATGTTTTATTGGCTCTGTTTCCAAATCGTTTTATCCGAAAGTGTTTTATATATTTATTTATGTAGAACTGTAGAAATATTGTAGAAGTACGTATTTAGATTAGATTGTGAGAATAAAATTATTAACTCATTAAGCGTTAGTCTTACACATGTATACAAATATTTATCTTACACATGTATACAAATATTTATATCGTCTAAAATTAAATTTGAATAAAAAAAAATATTTTTTTCACTTGTTATATGAATAACGAAACTTGCATATTACTCATAACTAATCATAAACATGGACATTTTAGTTATGAAAAGAAACTATAAAGCCTAAAGAACGTCAATATAGAGACTTTATTGCAAAGGAGAAAAAGGACATTTCAACCAATTACGCCATGCTTTCTTGTGAGAAGAAAGAAACACTAATTGAGACAGGATTTAGACACTCAATGCAAAAGTCCATACCTTTATTTAAGCATTCCATGTGATTGCATACCTTTTTATCTTAACAAGCAAAAAAAATCCATAAAAGCTTTTTCCATTTTTGATTCATACTGTATGTGTATAATCTAATCGAATCCACTACTGGCAAAAAGACGAAAAACCCAACATACAAGAACAAAAGAAGGTCCATTTCTAATCATCAAGTCCACGCCTACATCAAACTTCCATATCATATGTGTTATATGTACATGGTTTAATGAAATAATAATTTGTTAGTGAATAATTAGTAGAATTTAACACGTTTAATGTAGTTTTTTAGGTCTTTGGGTAAATAATGATTGTGGGACTTGGAAAAACTAAAGGGTAATAATGAGGGAAACATTGACATGAAAATGTGGTCATGAATATGGATGAATGTCTTATTCTCATCATTATATCCCTCTCCCCTACCATTCATATATATCAAAGAGAACCCATAGGTAAAAACTAACCACATTATACCACCCTATATGTATAGTTGGTTTCACTCTCTGTGTTTTACTTATCAAATAGTAAAAGTTCTCATTTTACTCAATGGTTAAAATTATTTATGATCAAAACAAGAAACAACTAGTTTGCAGATGACAACCATAAATGGTAGAATGTGAGTAATATTTGGTGTACTGCATGTGAAGTGCGTTTACTGTACTTATTACTTTCAGTACAAAAAAAAAAAAAAAAAACATACTCACAGTTCATTTATTTCCCATTTGTTTTCACCTTTTAGCATTTTCGTTTTATGGGTTTTGCATAAAAACCAATATGTAATAGCTACTTACTAGAGGGTCCAATTTGGTTAACCTAAACCAAAAAATAAAGAAAAACTTTTTTTTAGACAGTTGTGAAAAGGAATATAAAGCAGAATTTATAGAACCAAAAAGTTCAAATTTGGTTCTCTTCATTCCAATTTCCAATTACATCCCTTTCTTCTTTTTTCATCAATGAAATCCATTGAAGCAATCATGACATGTTAAATCATGTGATGATTATTCGAAACTTCATACGGCTTTTAAGGCAACAAATGTCATACAAAAGGGCCCTAAGAATGAATCCACCATAACTAACGCATGTTAATTAATAACGAACTGAGAGAATGATACACATCGATAAAAGTTGAAGACTTTATGAAGAATAGATGTTGACTTTTATATAGTGAGTTTTTTGGTAAGAATTGAGCTATCATCAGGTTGAATCAATGTCAAGAAACAAAAAGATAAAACATTCGGTCATTTCTTTGTCAAGCAACATCTTGTGTTAAAAGATCAATTAAACTAAAAGGTACGTAATCATCAGAATCACAAAGATAGATGTACAAATTTAATTAGAATTGACAGACACTCATGTGGGATGTTTGAATATAGAATTAATGAATTATAATCAGTCACAACTCACAACGATATTTCAGATAAATAATCATTTTTTATTTAATAGATCACATGGAGATATTAACAAAATTTGTACATTGAAAATAACAAGAAACATCATCCATCAAAGATATGAAGTTTGTGCGTAAATAACAACCAATTCAAGAACTAGAACCCAAAAATACTCTGTAGAATATGTAGATAACAGCAAATTCATGCGCATCTAAAAAGATTGAAAATCTAAAACCTTGATTCATTATAATTATAAACGGTATATATAACAATCCTGGATCTTTGTTAATTATAATATGGCAATGGCAATACTCCTACAAATTCTTGGACCTAAATTATAGCTATAATAAAGGTTAACCAAAGAATACAATTAATGCTACAAACTGTGAAAAAGAAAAGACATTACATATTTGCATCCACAAAGACCTCATTAAGCATGTCATGATCATCATCTTCCCCATTTGTTATGGCTTCTTTCTCCTCTTCACTACCAAATTCACGCCTTTTGAGCTTGGAATGAGTTGCAACAAATATCATTTTTTGAATCCTTTCAAGTCCAATTCTTGATTGAATTTGTCCTTGACCCAATAAAGACAAGTAACTACATTTGAATCCACAAGAAGTTGTTGCATGAAGAAACAAAAGCCTAACTGCAATCTTTCCAAGAATTGTGAAGTCTTTCAAGATAGTTTCCCAAACAAGTCTACTACTTTGAGGGTTTGCTATTTTCATCTTTCCGGTCAACGGGTCAAGTTGTTTGACTTGAACCGCTTTTGCGTATAACGGGTCAAGTCCTTCTGACCTCCATTTCATAAGCTCCATTAATGCTTTACGAGCTTCTTCTCTTGAAACTAATCGTGTTATCAGTTTATCAACATCTTTCTCTTGTTCACAAGTTAAGCATTTAAAAGGTGGAAGGTATTTTCCGTTTTCGTCCCTCAGTAAATAAACTGGATCAAGTATGAAAGCGGTTGACCATGCAGGGTGGTAGTTTTTCTTGAATCTTTTTTCAACAATTCTGTCAACAACACCAACATGAAGAACACTGAATTTCACACACCAATCTTTGATTTTGGATTTTAAATCCTCCCAAAGAGGAAGACATTGACCTACTAATGGCCTTTCAACCTCAATCTCTTCAACCATATCTTTCACCACTTTGATTAAAGTGTTGATAGCTTCCACGTCATTCCAAAACCCCATGTTTTGGATCATGTCGCCAACTTCTGTAGCCAGAGAATCTTCCATAACCAAAACTTTATACAAATCCTCCATTACAACTAATTGCAAGACGCGAGAACAGCTAATGATATTGTCCAACATTGCAGAAACAGACGAAAAGTTTTGTAAGTTTTCACAATACAAAAGGGGGGGAATCCCAAAAGAAACAGAGAATCTGGAGTCGTGTGATAGAAACTTGTTGAGAATGCTTCTAGCGTGAGAATTGTTGTTGAAAAGATTGGTAATCTTCAAGCAATTAGAAATTACGTTCTTGAAAAGAGGAAGCTCTTTGCTAAAATCCTTGATTAGATTACCGACTCCTTGAAGCTGACATGATAAATTAACCATCCATTGATTTTGAAGCTCTAAATTTCTCAAGGCTTTTGTTTTATACTTATCTGCGACAATTCCGACACATTTTTGAACGATATTACACGTACCTGTGATGGTTTCCCACATGATCTCTTCTGCATACGTGGCAGGAATCGCGCCACTAGGAAAAAACGTTTCTCGAAATAATGTGGTTCCATTCGGAAGATTAACCATGAATTTGATCATATTCATACCTTCGATTTCTTCGCTTTTCCACCCGTTGGATGAAAGTTGAAAAAACTCAGCATCGTTGATCTTGGTTTCTGATTCTAACTTTGCTTCTTCGTATTTTGAATCAAGCCTTGACGACATAAAATTGTCTTGTCTTGAAATCTCAGGAAGCCCGACTTGATTCATGAAAGCTTTAAACTTTGGATGATCCAAGCTTGAATAAGAGACTGACCCGTAAGACTCGTAAAACCAATCAGTTAATAATCCAAGAGCCGAATCGATTTGGGTTTTACTTAAAATGGGACCAGGTGGTAAAGGTTTTGAACTTTTAATCTTTTTCACACTATCTTCCAGCATTGCCAATGGTCCCAGATCCTCTTTCCCACCAGATAACAACAAATGCTGCTGTTGTTGATGATGATGAAACTGATGTTGATGGTAACTATTCAAACCCTCGTTTATAGAACCGAGCCGCTTCCGATTACTGTGAGAAGAAGGTGAAGACAATGGCGGCAAGGAAGACGAAGGTGATGAATGTTTCAACAGAGAGTTAAAATTGGGGCAGGTTCCTCTCTTGAGATGCTCAGAAGCAGTTCGTGATGGGTTTGAAGCGGAGAAAACAGCTTCACAAAGGTTGCACCTAAGCTTAACAGCTTTCGGATCATTTGTGTCCGGGTTTCGAACTAGAATAGGCTCCAGATGTGCCCAGTACCAAGCTCCTTTCCCTTTAGTGGCCTTCGCTCGAATCGTGCTTAGCCCTTCATATCTCTTGTTCACAGCTCGTATAGCCATGTCTTCTGTAGGAACCGCTACCAATTGGGTATCATTATTCTGGGTCTCGTCAGATTCAGCCATGAGTAAGTAACACACGAAAAATATGAAGAGGCTTCTAGACTAGAAACTAGAAAGACAGACCTTTTAACTTAACGTCGTATATACCAACTGTACGGAGTTTCAATTCAGGTGTTATGAAGTCCATTTTGATGGTGGCGAAAGAGAGCTTCTGAAGTCGCCGGAAACACGGAAAGTTTGGTTTATGTATACCAGGTGTTTGATGAAATGCTCAAGCGAAAGAATGAGAATGATGAATGATGATAATGGTCAGAAGTAAAATGGAATATTATAGCAGCGGCAGGTATATCACACGGAGATTTGTAAGGGAAGAAGTGGTAGTTCCCCACGTAGCATTAAAGCGCGTCAGATGGAACGAGCCAATGAACTTTAAGGTTTTTTTGGGGTGTGGGGTCGGAGGTTTTGAAGTTGTGGGGTCAAAATATAAATTGGCCATAGAATTGACTCATCTCACCTCCAAGTATGGTCAACATTGGTAATTCAACGTGTCAGGTGACGTAGGAATTGTTTTTAAAACGTGAGAATTTTTGGAAACAAGGACTCCGGCTTCGTTTTATTATACTTTGACCCCCTCGCTTCGCTTTTGAATGCAAAATACATTATTTACCTCAACTAGTCAACTTTAACATATCCGATTTCAATTACAAATGTTCGTCGTTATTGAATAATATCCTAAACAATTACTTTACTAGATAATAATACAAAAGTAAATTGCAAAAATGATCATGCACTTTTAGCTCATTTTTTTTTCAATTATATAAATTTTAGAGTAAATTTCATTAATGGTCCCTGTTGTTTGGGGTAATCTATGTATTTAGTCATTAAATTTTTTTAACTAGGACGGTCTCTAGGATGTATTTTTGTTGCGTGTTGGGTCCTTGATAGACCTAAAATGACTATATTTGTCACAACTAGCATTTTAGCTAGGAAATTTTATTCTCATGTAAACATTCATCTAGTGTAATGACTTGTACTCCAAATGAATATCATACTTTATGCTCATTCAAATACATCTCATATGTTCAATTAAGGGTTGGAAACCCTAGAAATCCTAGTTCCAGTTCTATATGAACTAAGATTCTCTTATTGGGTCTAATGGACCAATAAACCTCCAACTTCACTATCTTGGGCCTAAGAACCCTAATTGGGCTCTAAATGGACCACATTCATAAAACTTTAGCATTTTGGGCCATGTGGACCTAAAAGGGCTCTCTTATCCCAAATGGACCTTGTTGGGCCATAAATGTTTCCATTAGTCCTAATGGGCCGTAAATTACCTATTGGACTTCTATTGGGCCGTAGACCCTCATAAGGGCCTAATAGGCCGAAAAATAATTTTTGGGCTTCATAAATTGGAACAAGACCAAGAATGGGCCCAAACTAAATCATTTTTATCTTCCTAGCCCAAATTCTCGGCCCAATGTGCTTGTTAGACAAAAAAAAAGAAATGAGGATTTATGTGCATAAGACACCTCATGTTTGCATGGTGGGTATCCATGCAAACATCACCTCAAACTATCTTTTTCTCTCTTCTCTTATTGCTCTCGGCCAAGACTCCCACCACCCCACCTCCATTTCTCATTTCAAACTACTTCAAACTCTCTCTAAGAACTCCTCCCGCTCCTCCATATTTTCGCAAGTTTGTGGGTGTCTTCAAGAGGGTTTTTCATCAAGATCATCATCCTAGGTAAGATCTTACAAACCTAAGTTGAATTACCACATCTTTACACTTAAATCACTCCTCTTACACCTATATTTTTGTGGATCATGTTTCTTAGAACCATTCAAGTTCGAAAACCTCTTCAAGAGGCTTGCTAAAGTCGAGATCTTCTTCAATCTCTTCATCAAACCGAATCCAAACCCCAAAGTGAGTTCATACCCCCTATTTTCGACTTTTACTTTGTTTTGGGGGAGAATACAAGTTGTTTCGTGTAGATCTATGTGTATATGCATGACTATGTGTGTTTTCATGATTTATTTGGTGATTATGTGTTGTTTACTTCATAAATCTAAAAATATGTTAAGAATATGAAGTTTACCACTTGGATCTACATAAAAACCTTGAGAAAAGTATGTGTTATCACATATAATACATGTAAACTTGTAGATATGGGATTTATACACTTAAAAGAGCAAAAACAAGTGTTGTGTACAAACATGGATAACTTAAACTCAAAAATCAGCCCTTGACAGAAAAGTTTTGGTTCAATATCGAACTGTTTTGACCACCTTAATGGTAATATGTTTCAAAACTGTTTTACATGCAAAAATTTCAGGTTTATATCTTTAAAATGACTACTCTCACGTTTTCATACGATTTTTCTACAATTTTTGGCGAATTTTACAAAACTGCTTATCATATTTGAAATAATCTCGGACCAGCCTGTGAAGGTGAGCAATTTCACACTGGATAGAGGCCATTAAAAATTAAGAGAAAATTTTTTGAACAAAGTAGACAAAATTTCCAAACTTCCAGAGTTTACGGATCCAAATTTCGACTCACGATGATTTTTCTACAAATTTTCCAACAACCGGGTCAGAAAAGTCAATAACCAGAAAAATGTGTATTTTCACAAAAATCAAGCCAAAAATGATATTTTGACAGAAATGGGTTAAAAATGTTATTTTTACCAAAAACTAACCATAAATACAAGTTTTGAACAAAATGGGGACAAAAGTGTTATTTTTACTAAGATTGGGCCTTAATTGTAAATTTTTGGCTTATTGGGTCAAGAACGTCATTTTTACAAAAAGTGAGTTTTTTATACTATTTTGGTAAATAATTTGGTTAATACTAGCAATAAAATAACAAACGGACTAATTTTGTCATTCGTATAATATTGGGCTTTAGTGGCCCATTAATATGTTTGATAGGTCCTGAATACTATTTCTTTGTTTATTGGGCCTCACTGACCCATTAACATGCGCGACGGACCTTAGATACTATTTGCGTGCTATTTGGGCCTATAAATACCTTACATGTGAAATGGGTCTTAGTTGTCCTTTTAAATATATTTTGGGCCCATGTTATATAATCTCATTTCTTTCGGGCCTGAAAATGACTTACGTGTTCAGTGAGACTCAGTGGTCCACAAACATGATTCATTGGGCCCGGAATGAGTTTATATGTTTCTCTTCGCGTAAATTCAATTAAGGATCTAATGAGACTTGTCGGTTGACACCTATTGAGTGTACGATCGTAGCATGTAGTTATAATCAGAGTCTCTTGGAGGGAGAGTGGGGTTTTGTGTATAGATCTATACGGGGATGACACCCCACACCTGAGCTGTTCGCTACAGTTAGACTACATCAGTCTAGGGTGACGATAACCTTATTCTATTTTTCCGTCGGCATTCACAAACGCCAAGACAGGCGAAATTGTCATTATTTAGTATGGTTATGACGGCTCACTTAGAGGAATTAACGTTATGAAGTTTGCGGAAGACCATTCTCTTTTCTCTTGGATTACTCGGAAACTTACTCACACTGGTACTCAACCTCGGGGTTGGTACAACAGCTTTCTCTTTTCTTCTTTTACAGGCAACATCGGGTTGTCTGGGGGCATTCTATTTACATTTCTCTTTTGGCATTCTATTAATCAATAACACACATGCATTAATACAAGATCGGACACAAACATACCAAACTATTTTAAGAAAATACAGGATTTTCTTGTGATTACAAAGTTATACAAATCATTTTCTCAAACATGCTTATGAACTCACCAACATTTTTATGTTGACCTTTTTAAATTAACTTGTATTATCAGGAAACCGTTGAAGCAAGTTGGGACGAACAAACTAATGGATGTTTTGTTATATTTCTATTTCATCAGACTTTAATTATTTTGGCATGTAATATTCAAATACAATACTCGATGTAAACAATGAATGTTGTTATATTACACGTGTGATGATGATGATGTTATGTTTCAATTATATACTCTGTGATGATACTACAACAATGGAGTCACGTTCAAACCCCCGGACGTTTCCGTCGTCTGGTTCGGGGGTGTGACAATATTGCTCTTATTTATTTATTTTCTTTTATTTGTCTGATTTATTATTATATAAAATAAATATAAAAATAAAAATAAAAAAAATCCTAAACCTCTTATCTAATAGTACACCTTAATAAAAGAAAAGTTATTTTCTCTTTATTCCTTCTATCGTCCCCATCCCTTCCCTCGATCTCGCTGGCAAATCCATAGGCCTACCGCTGGAGACAATGAAACTCCATCTTCGGCGTCCCCCTCTCCGTCACCATCTTTTTCTCGCCAAAAAAACTCAACCCACGAAGCCTCCTCATCTCTACCACTCCCTCTTTCCGATTAGAGCTCTCCATCATTTACTCACTGGAAAAACACGAAGCAGGAATTCATTAGAAAAAAAAAAGTCGAACCAGAATCATGCGCTTGCTTCATTTTAGTTTGATATATTGCATCTCTGAGTAGAAGTTTTTAGAAACTTAATTTTTCACAGGAACCACAAAAGAGAAATTTGATTTCCTCGAAAGAGTGGTGGCGCTTTTCCATTTATTGGTTTTAATAGTTATCAAAACATGATTCAAATGATTGGGGGGGGGGGGTCGGAGAAGATGATCGGACCGGTTAGGCTCAAAGGGGCAGCAGAGAAGAGACGAAGGTTCTAGGTTTAATCATGGTGGGTTTCATCGATGATTGTAGATGGTGGTTCAAGCGAAGAAGATGATGAATCTTGAATCCTCGCTTGTTTTTTGCATTCAGGATTTTCATCAGGTTTTGATTTTCAGCATTTTGATTTTGATTTTCTTCAATTTTGATTACAAGGTAACAAGTTCAATTTTGATTTGGGTTTGTTTGGGTTTTGATTTGGTTTGATATTCAATAGCTTCACCCTGTGAAAATTGTTGTAGCAAGCACCATTATTAGAAGATGTCTTAGAAGATGTCTGATGTCGATGACGATGGTGGCTACGGGAGACAGTGGTGGCCATGACGGTTGTCGGAGACGATGATGATGAAGA